GGTTAGAATGTATGTGCATGACATATGTGCCATCCTCAAACCTTTTACATTAGCACAGCTATTGTGACTGTATAATAACGTTCAGTATCATTCAGCTGCAAAATAAAATAAGCACGTTATTATGTGCAGGAACTGTGCTTAATTTACTTTAGCTTGCCCTTGAACATTGCACATATCTGTTATAAAAGCTGGCCACTTACCTTTTTTTAAACCCAGTTTGTTACAGAATTATGCAAACAAACCAGGAAACAAGCAAGGGGAAACATGGTACAGGTGACATGATTAAATGCATTTCACACTTTCTGCTTTGGGCTCACTTTATTTTCATAAATCAGATGGTTTTCTGGGTATGTCGATTCTTGCTAATATTTGTATATTATTTGTAAAAACAAACATAGCAGTTACTCTGTTTTTGTGATCTCATTTATATTTCATTGTCTGTTTTTTCCGGGAGCTTTCATGATGCAAGTCCCAGTTCATCAAACCTAAATCTGTTCTCCAAATTACAGTTATTCATCTCCCCTGCACGTAGAAATAGGCAAAATTTCAGGTTGTGCTCCTGTCGTCTTGCCAATTTCAGAATCAAGGACAAAGCCTTCCCTCATCATCTTCACAATATTTGTTTCTATGGACTTGGTTGGGCCCTCTCCCCTCTTTGGCACTCGTGTATCTCATTCTATATTTGTTCTTTCTTCCTCTCTGAGTCTTTCAAATATCGGACTCCTCTCTTCGTTCATCCATGTTTTCCTACAGCGTGTGGTGTATGCTCTCCCATGGTGTCTCCACCATCTAGAGCACCTTCATTGTGCCTAATTGGCTTCTTGACTAGTTTCCAATTTTATCCTTCCTGGACTGACTCCTAACCCTCTTTCTGATTAAAAACAATCAAATCCTTTTTCTTAGAGCCTTCTGTTTTCTCCATGCTTAATTCTGATACCTGGCTGTTGCATTCCACCATACTCCTACCCTGTATATGTATTTGAATTGTCTGATGGTTAAGTCCATACAATGGGCTCAGGTGTGATGCATTTATATGAATGACATAAACTAAATGTTTTAACTAATATTTCAAGCTTGTGATATGAGGCACCTTTTTATACATTTCCTATTTGCATATCCTGAAAGTGGAATAATTTTGAAAACAAACTTGAGATTAAAATAGTAAATTAGTTATGCTTTGATGTGCAGTGTTTTTAGATTGGTTGAATTTGCATTTTATGACTGACAAGTTTTGCAAATAATGCTGTCTGCTCTCATGATGCAAGTTATTAATGAATTTAGACACTTGTGAGGCTTATCTGCACAAGCGGGGGACATTGAATGAAGCACTTTTCTAGGGAATAATGCTAAAAAGTAATAAAGCGATCTCCCTGGCTGGTGCAGACTGTATGTACATGTGCTCTGCTATACATCAGTACTGAAGTATTCTTTTAAACTAATCTAAACACTAACCTATTGGATTGTAAAGTCCCTATCTAGTCTGTACTACAGTTTTGTAAACTATAACACAGTTAGGCTTTGTCTACCGGTGGTCTACTGATCAGGGAAACTGTGTTAGCGCCTTAAGCAAGAATAATAATGAAACACTGTTTCCCTAGGGGTATGTCTGTTTTGGCATAAAAGGTGTTAACACAATCCAAAAAAACCCATTAAGATTCAGGATGACTTATTTGAAGTGGTCTTAACTGGCAGTGTTGTAACCTATCCTACAGCAATGCTTCAGATATGTTAGCTTGCACTTTAATGGAGCTTTGCAATCGTATCGAGCTAACACAATTGAAAAACCCTTTTTGCCTGACAAGACAGGCCTAGAATTAACATTGGTTCATCAGCTATTATAAAGAGGGTCTTAGAGTAACTATTATCAGAAATTGCTGGATTTGTTACTCAAATAATGTGCATCAGATGTGGTAGTAATGTCTTTAGCTACTGCAGTTCTCTAATGCTTTTATGGAGCAAAACATGAGGTTCTGCTTAGTTTCTCAGCACCAGTTGACACTTGTTTTAAAATTAGACTATGGGTTTGTTTCAGGGTGACTGAACTTCAAACGGCTGTATTTTTCCTTGCTAATTCTTATGGGTATTTGCATTTTTCGTAAATGGTTAAGGAAACTTTTAATTAATTACAGTAGGATCTTTGTAATTCCATGTGAGGTGACATGATAAAACTCCAGCCATCGAACAGCGTGGCTGTTGTGCATTGTGCATCATGAAAGACTATATGGCTTTATACTGTACCGGACAACTGCATGCCACTATACTACATAACACTTATATGAGAGCAAAGAGGATGCAAATGATGTGATGGGCGTTAAAATGAAATGTGTCCTTTGTCAAATGAAAATGGCATTTTTAAAAGCACATTCATGTTTGGGACAGTGTGACCCCGGGGACTGGAAGTCAGGAGACCTGGATCTGATTTTCAGATCTATCATGGCTTGTTGTGTAATTTTGGGCAGGTCACTTCATTCTATGCCTGAGCTTTCCTGTCCATCAAATACAGAAGATCCTTCTCCATCTTTCTGAAGTGTTTTGAGAGCTATACAGACGCTCCCCGACTTACGCAATCGTTCTGTTCCGGAAAGCCTTGTGTAACTTGAAAGTTGCGTTAGTCGGAAACGTATACCCGTATGTTACGCAAAAATTTCCGCAACTCGAAAATCCTATTTCTGGCTTATGGAACTTTTTCCCTAAGTGCGAATTTGCGTAACCCGGGGAGCATCTGTAAATGAAAAGCATATGAATGTTAAATATTACTTATTAGTGTAAGTAACAAAACAGAGGAATTACCCCATATTTTCTTGTAATTGTTTTGTAGGCAGCCCAGGTTTCAGTGGCTTTTACCTTATTAGTTAGAAAAATTACATTAATACAGATGCTTTCTGGCTTGCTTTCAGATTTAAAGCTATTTACAGCTTAAAGATTTTTACGTAAAAAGGGGCACAGTTCACTTTCCCAGACTTTTGATTGCCTTTTACTTTTAACTTTTGCTTTTAAACACACAGTGATTTGAAAAAGACAACACAACCTATACTCATAAGTAATGACTACCTCCTGCTTTCTTTGTCTTCTCTTTTAGGATGTACTGTACCCCCTTTTATTACTAATTCCATTGAAAAGACTTGTAAAGGATGTTCTATTTAGAGCAAACTGCTAATACTAATATATCTCACTGATTGTTTTAAACTTACTTTTATAGAACAAATGCAAAGCAACTCATTCAGAATGTAATTAAGAATCACTGCCATTCTGAACATCAGTGTAAGAATAGGTACTTAAAATACCATTTAAGTTATGAGGTTCTTTATTGTTACCCTTACAATTTCTTGTCATTTATTTAATCTGCCCTTATGCTGAATTTCCTTCTTGTGTTGAATTGCTAGCTTTACCAACAGAGTAAACTGCAGTAAGGGCAGTTTTCATAACTATTGCTTTACTGCTGCCTTAATGCATTATTTAGCTGGCTTTCAAAGTGTTAGTTGAAAAAATGAATACAAATTGGATTGGATACCATAGGAACATTTGTTCTTCACACTGAATACCTGTTAAAAGACCATAAAGAAAAGTTAATGTATCAAATTGGGGGAATGTGTCCACTAGGGTACCAAATGAGCTTGTCTTGGTATTATCATTATTAATTGTATGGAAGAGGGAATAAATAGCACATTAGTGAAATCCACTATGTTGCAAACTCCATTGCGGACAGAGAAATAATATAAAGAAAACAAGATAAATTAAAAACATGGACAGAAAATAACGTAAGGAGATACAACTTCAAAACATACAACTCATAAGCCTACAGGGAAGTAATTGAAAATGTACTTGATGGCAGGGAGGTTTCTGGGAAACAATAGTTGGTGATAGTGGACAGCAAATTAAACATGAGACCACAAGGTATTATTGTAACAACAATGTGAATGCAATTTTGAGCGGCATGTATTGAGGTATCCCAGAGCCAGAGGTTAATAGTTAGTCTTCATATGTCTCTCTCTCTCTGGCTTTGATGTAACTACATCTGTAATAATGTGTTCAGTGTGGGGTATCTCATTACTAACAAGATATAGGCAAGTTAGAGGGAGTTCAGACAAGAACACCGATAATTAGGGGTTTGGTTGGGATTGATTTGAGGAAAGATTAAAGAGCTACATTTTTACTTAGCTAAGGCCTTGATCCAGCAAAGCATTTAAGAATGTACATAGTCCCATTGATGTTGGGGCTACTCGTGTGCTTGTAATTTTACATACATGCTTAAGTGCTTTGCTGAATGAGGGCTTTCGCAATCGCAAATGGAGATATAAATCTACAACTGCTTGAAGGGTGGAAATGCCACCAGTGGACAAAAATCAGAGTGGACGGTTATGGCCAGAACCTACAAGTGTTGGCATAAAAAATGAGGAAGGAACTATTTGGGCTTCACATCAGCTGAGTGAGATATAGTAAATTGTCGAATAATCTCCAGAGTGCGGTGGTGGAAACCCTATCTCATCGGACACTTAAAAAACTAGAGTGGGGAAAAACGCTAGAAAGTACGCTGTGAAGTCATCTACCTGCCAATGCAGGATTGTTCATGAACAGACATCTCTAATGCCAATAAATTTATATAAAAAGTATTGCTTTAGAAAATAGATCTGAAGTCATCCACACATTGCTCAATGAAAGAGGTTTGAAAATGGTTTTACATTTTTCACCTGAGCGATTGTGCCTGTTTAATCTTGAGCATCCTGGTTTACCATCTGAGAAATTGGATGTGTACATGTGACTGTGGTGTCAGATGTACATGCCGCTAAGTTAGTGGTTTACTTAAATGTCTTTCTTCACAGTGGGGTATCTTCTTGCTAATGTTACTAGTGGAATTTGTAATTCTTGACATCTTAAATCGAGGGAAATTTTTTAAATTCAGATACCCAAAACACCAATTAAATATTTACCCAACCACTTTTAATTTTATTAATCATCAGCACTTGCTTCTGTATAATTCATTTTGCATTAACCTCTTTCAGCTGGATATGCCTAATGAACAGATAGTTGCCAATCTGGATGCAATTATTAAGGATGTCTGTACGTACAAGCCATTGAGCTATGGTAAGTAGCTTTTCCTTTAGGCTCTTAATTGAAGTTAAAGCAAATTACATAAATGAAGTAATAAGAAAGCGCTCTTTGTCGCTGACTATTGCCAAACACACATCACGTCATCTGTCTTTAGGATGGAGGCAGCGTTTCAGCCCTGATCCAGCATGTTACTTAAACTTTATGCCTAACTTTAAGCATATGAGTGGTCCCCTTGACTACAGAAGCACTATTGATGTGTGCCTTGCCAAATCAGGAGTTTAGCATTGCTATGCACTAAAGGACAGCATGGGTCAGAAAATAAGCAAAATTACCGAACCCAACTGAGCTTGCAGGGAAGACTGTTACATAGGGCTTAGTGGAATTTGGTCAGGACAAGGGGGTTGCCAAGCTAGAAGTCTAGAAAAGAATAAGCAAGCAGAAAATTCTTTCCAGGCCTCTGCATCAATTCTACACCATCGGTGGATGCCTCTTGCGTGTTGTGAGCCTTTATGGGGGTTGGATGTATGGATTCCAGTGCCAGTGTTGATTGGTGGTTCGACCTGATGTGGCTGCACTTCACCAGAGGATCTGGGGTCACACATCAGCCACCTACTTAGTGCAGAGAACTGTCACCAGTCATATTTTTGCTGTTGATATTACAAATTCGTCAGTTTCTTTTCTGTTAATTTTCTAAGCAATAGGATGCAGTCACTTGTGAATAAAAATCCACTCCGCGTGTTTCCTACAGGCTTCAGAGAAGTATTGGCTCTGTTCGGTGTTTTTAAGTTATAATCCGAACAATGTGGATCCTGCAGCATGCTCTTTTCATTGTTGACTTTATCATAAAGTAAACTCACAGTGAACGTCTTCTGCATGATTGGAGGAACAGGAGTGGTTAATAAACATAATAGTTTTAGAAGAAGCCGCCTGATGTTTAGTAGTTTTAAATAGAATATCCAGTACACTGCTATCTAATGTTAAATATTGCCTTGTCTTTATTTTTAACATTTATATTGCTTCACACAATCACAGTGATTCTTCCCACTCGACTTTCTGTAGCAATTGCTCCCGCTACCACACAGCGCTTGTGTTCACCTCTCACTGTTGTTGCATGTTATCTGTGGTGCTTGAAATTCCTGGCAGGATTTTATTTCTTTCCTATAGAAAATAAACTTTTTTAAAGGGTTCAGTGTTTTAGAAAAGATGTGGCTGATTGGATCACCCGAAGGATTAGTAATCAGTAGAAACAATAGAAGTCAAGTATCCTGACTTTCCAAGGTGTTTTGATAACTACATCAATCTAATAAAGTGGACATAAGCTGCTGAAGTGGCTCAATGTTGAGAAAGAGTCAGTTTTGCTCTTCAATGACTAATTCTTGTGATTTTAGTGTGTAGTGGTTACCACAAGGGGGTAAATTTTTATTTTAGATTCCTAAAAGTCAAACTTTAACCTAGGTAACAACTGAAAGGTGATGTACAAAATCTACCATTCTAAGTAGTTGCTGCTAGTTTCCTATTTTCCATTCTTCTCAAGCCCCCCTCTGCACAACGTATAACAACCAAAAGTTACAGGATGTTTTCTTTACCATATGTGCATATAACCATGTCACTGAACATGCATGCTTAGTGTATAGCTCTCCTTATGAAAAAATATTCACTAAATTAAGCATGCAGATTCATATGTTGCAACATAAAATAATTTGTATTCATACGTCCCCCAAAGAGAACCTAATATATTTGACTTTTCTTTGGTTCCTTTTGTAGAAAGGCTCATTTTCCATTCAATAGCAGGAGTCCAGCTGGAATGGGGAAGTTGTTGGTGTTTTTCCATTAATGAATGTTTAGAATATAAATGACTAATTTATGAGTTTCTATAGATCTGCAGCTAGGGAAAATTAATTCTGCTGTGTTCCATATCCCTGGAGACAAAAATATGAAATCTAGGATTAGTTTTTCTCTACAATTTTTCTTGCCTGACATACCTAATAACAATTCAAAAAAACGCCAGCTGCCCAGCAGTCAGTGACGTTGTATATTAACGTTGAGCTGCACTTAGCATTGGGGAAAAAAGATTAACTGTTCTAAATGAGAAATTTTAAATCATCACAAACAGTGCTACAAAGGAATAATGATAACAAAGATGAATATTTAATCAAAGTGGTGATTACTTTGGGACTAGAGCAATATTGTGTGTGTTTGTAGCACACTTGAAGTTTGCATTTATTACATTATTTGCCTTATTATATTTCAATGCAGTATTCCATTTAAACTCCTTATTTAGTTCATTTTCAATGCTGTATTCTATTGCTTGCATTTTTTAGCACCAGCCATACATTTGGTGCTATCAAATGTTGTCATTTCCCCTTTTGATATTTCCCTCTGTGATTCCTGACCTCCCACATCAAATGGACCACTAAGCTCCCTTTCCTGAATCCATCTTGGCTTTTCCTTTTCACTCCCCTCTCACCCTAAATAGGAATTTAGAACCACGACAGCCCTCGCTACCTTGTTCTTCAGGTGCAAGGCATGCTTCTTCGACCTTGCCGTAGCTAATATAAACACAGAGCATACTGTACTTATAACTTATTTAAAAACACAATGCATGCACTTCCCCGTGGGAGAGGCGATGAGAGAGAGAGAGAGTGAACTGCACGTGACAAACAGTCACATCACTTAATGTATTATTGGTGCACGCTCTCATTATGGTGATGAAGGAAGCTTAAGAACCTGTAGAACCCAAACAGAAGCCTGATCTCTCTCCTTTTCACAGGAGTGGGGCTTCCCAGCCCCTCACCAAGCTCTCCATTACTGTTGAACCTCATTCCTTTTGTGCTTTTGAAGGGGCCTCCAGGTAGGGTCAGACTGCCCTGTCTACCCCTCTTCCCCTCTCAGGTGTGTGGCTGTGCTCACCAGATGCTCTACCGTCCTCTCTCGCTGTCAGGTGAAGTCTGTGTGTGGTAATGCTGAGCCGGACCATGTTTCTTCTGAGCGGAAATATGGACAATGCACCGTGGAGGTTGATTGCAGGAGTGCTGCTCTTTATTTCCTTCTGCTCGAATGTGAAGACAGCTCTGGGAGATGCATATCTCTTTGGAGGTGTAACACGTTTCCTCAGTCTGATTGAGCTCTTAGTCTAGAGTTCTGCCCTATTACTCCACTCTGCCCACTTGAGTTAGTTCCCACCATCCTGGAAAATAGATGGTCAGGTAAATCTCTACCTGGTCAAAGTGGGTATTTTTAATGAATAGAGATAAATCCTCAGTTTGAAATGAGCTTTTTCTATTATCAGGGAAAATTTTGTACGTTACTGTACAAATTTCAAAACCTCCTAAGTGATGTATTTAGGAACCTAAGTCACTTTTGAAAATTTTACCTTAGGATTACATGTTTGGTTGCAAGAACAAGAAGTTTATAGGCTGCTAAGGCATCTACATTATATACTAGTGGTACTGCTCCAGTCAGAATAACTGAACCATAACCATATTGATTTTGAATGAATCTGTAAAATTTTAAAAACTGCAGTACTTTTGTTAAGGGTTCTTCCCCACTTTGAACTTTAGGGTACAGATGTGGGGACCTACATGAGAACCTTTAAGCTTAACTACCAACTTAGATTTGGTTTTGCTGCCACCACCCAAATTATTTGAGTTATTTGGGAAACTTTGTCTACCACCACCTCCCTCTCCCCCGCCCCCCGCCCCAGAATATCACCCTCCCAAGTATTATAACCCTTCCCTGGGTAGCCTTGAGAAACTTTTCCACCAATTTTTTTGGTGAACACTGATCCAAACCCTTGGATCTTAAAACAAGGAGAAATTAACCCTTTCCCCCTCCTTTTCCCCCCACCAATTCCTGGTGAGTCCAGATCCAACCCCCTTGGATCTTAAAACAAGGAAAAATTAATTAGGTTTTTAAAAAGAAGGCTTTTAATTAAAGAAAGAAGGGTAAAAATTATTTTTGTAAAATCAGGATGGAAAATAACTTTACAGGGTAATCAGATTCAAAGAGCCCAGAGGAACCCCCTCTAGCAAATAGAGGTAAACACTCTAGCAAAAGGAACATTTACAATTTGAGAAAATAAAGATAAAACTAAAACGCCTTGCCTGACTGTTACTTACAAGTTTGAAATATGAGAAACTTGTTCAGAAAGATTTGGAGAGCATGGATTGATGCCTGGTCCCTTTTAGTCCCAAGAGCGAACAACCCCCAATACAAAGAGCACAAACAAAAGCCTTCTCCCCACCAAGATTTGAAAGTATCTTGTCCCCTTATTGGTCCTTTGGGTCAGATGTCAGCCAGGTTACCTGAGCTTCTTAACCCTTTACAGGTAAAAGGATTTTGATGTCTTTGGCCAGGAGGGAGTTTATAGTATTGTACACAGGAGAGCTGTTACCCTTCCCTTTATAGTTATGACAACTTTTCTCATAAATACACACACGTGTATAACATACTCAGAGAATTAGTATGTAAGGTCCCCTGGGAAGAAAATGTAAGGGAAAAAGAAGTTCAGGAGAGTTGGTAGTTTCTCAGAGTAAATATTTAAGGCAACAACAAACTATCCTAATGCAAAGAAATATAGGAAGACTAGTAAGATGGCTCCAGTAGGAGCTCTTTAAGTTACCTGAAAATCAAAAAGGATTACTACTAAAAAGTGGAATCATGGACATAGCTAAGGATCAGTATTAAAAATAGCCCCAGCATGTAGGGACAAAATCAGAAAAGCTAAGGCACAAAATGAGTTACACTTAGCAAGGGACATAAACGGCAATAAGAAGCGGTTCCATAAATGCATTAGGAGCAAGAGAAAGATGAAGGAAAATGTAAGTCCACTATTTACAAGGGAAGGAGAGCTACCAGTGGACAACATCAAAAAGGCTGAGGTGTTTAATACCTATCTTTCTTCAGTCTTCTCTTAAAGCAAAAAAAACCATTAATGGTGACTAGATGCTTAACACAGTATTAAAAAGGAGGGAGGCAAGAATAGGGAATGGACAGGTTAAAGAATATTTAGATAAATTACATGTATCTAAAGCGGAGCCTGAGTAAATTGAGCCTAGGATCCATAAAGAACTAGCTAAAGAAATCTCGGAACCACTAGCGATTATTTTCGAGAACTCAGAGGAAGGGTGAGGTCCCAGAGGACGGGAGAAGGGCAAATGTGGTACCTATCTTTAAAAAAGATAACATAGAGGACCTGGAGAATTGTAGACCACTCAGCCTAACTTCAGTACTTGGAAAGATACTGGAATAAATTATTAAGCTACAAATTTGTAAGCACCTATGAGATAATAGGATGATAAAATAGCCTACAGGGATTTGTCAAGAACAAATCATGCTAAACCAACCTAACTTTCTTCTTTGACTGGGTAATTTGGCCTAGTGGATGAAGGGAGAGCAGTAGACATGATTTATCTCCATTTTAATAAAGTTTTTGACACAGTCCCACATGACATTCTCATAAGCAAACTAGGGAAATGTGGTCTAGGTAAAATTACTATATAGTGGGTTCACAACTGGTTGAATGACCAGACTCAGAGTAGTTATCAGTGGTTCACTGTCAAACTGGGAGGACATACTTAGTGGGGTTTTGCAGGGGTCTGTTCTGGTCAGTATTTTCATTAATGACTTGGGTAATGGAGTGGAGACTGTGCTTCTAAAATTTGTGGATGATACCAAGTTGGGAGGTGTTGCAAGCACTTTGGAGGACAGGATTAGAATTCAAAATGACCTTGATAAATTGGAGAATTGGTCTGAAATCAACAAGATGAAACTCAGTAAAGACAAGTGCGAAGTATTACACTTAGGAAGAAGAAATTAAATGCACAACTACAAAATGGGGAATGACTGGCTAGCCAATAGTGCTCCAGAAAAGGATGTTGGGGTTATACTAGATCACAAATTGAATAAGAGCCAGCAATATGGTGCAGTTGCAAAAAAGGCTAATATCATTCTGGGGGTGTATTGACAAGAGTGTCATATAAGACATGGGAGGTGATTGTTCCACTGCGCTTGGCACTGGTGAGGCCTCAGCTGGAGTACTATGTCCAGGTTTGGGTGCAACACTTTAAGAATCATGTGGACAAGTTGGACAGGGTCCAGAGCAAACCTGCCCTGTGGGGAAAGGTTAAGAAAACTGGACATGTTCAGTCTTGAGAAAAGAAGAGTGATGGTGGTGGGGGGAACCTGAGAACAGTCTTCAAATATGTTATGTGCTGTCAGAAAGAGGACTGTGATCAATTGGTCACCATGTCCTCTGAAGGTCAGACAAGAAGCAATGGGCTTAATTTTCAGCAAGGGAGATTTAGGTTAGATATTGGGGAAAACTTCCTAACTATAAGGGTAATTAAGCACTGGAATAGGCTTCCAAGGGAGATTGTGGGATTCCTGTTGTTGGAGGTTTTAAAGACCAGGTTAGACAAACATCTGTCAGGGATGATCTTAGATATGCTTGGTCCTGGCTCAGCTCAGGGGGCTGGACTAGATGATCTTTCAAGTTCTCTGCTAGCTCTACATTTCTCTGATCCCATGTCTGTATATAAGCATCATATCAGCACCGGTGTAAACTGACAACATTGTGGTTGAGAAATAAAGTGGAAATCAGGTGGTGTCCCAAGACATCTTTTAACCCCATGTGGCTTGGTGATATACTGCTTGTCTTTAAACAACTGCTGGGAGGTAGGGGTGGATATGGCACACATCATGATCAGGTAAGTCATCCTGCAGGTATAAAAAATTCTACTAGAATAATTCAGAAGTTATTTTCTATTTTCTGTGTTTTGTTTTTTTAGGCCCATTTGTGCAACGCTTGATTATTCGAAGTTCAACGAGTGAAGGTTTAAAACTAAATCTCAAGCGTTTTCTCCCTCAAGTAGAGGAAGTGGACAAAGAAGATGTTAAAGAAACAGAAGCTCCAAGATAGCCTATCAGTGTATTATACTGCAAATTCTCTTAGCATTTTATGTTCAAGAATCTCCAGGAGTATTTAAAAATGTGTTTTCCTATTAATTTGTTTGAGTACTCTCAGAAATTGGTGGTGTAGCCTAGATCTCATCTTTAAAAAAAAAAAAAAAAAAAAAAGTTAATAAATGTCATGTTTGAGATTTTGTTTTTAATTCCTGCAGTATCAAAGGTATCTTTAGACTTTGAGACACTTGACATTTCCTCCATGTGCAGGTGAAAGCTTTCATCAAGTTACGTTTGTTACACGTATTGTGATTTAACCAAAACTTACTTTATTATAAATTCCCATCATTATTGTATAACCTTCCAGGGCAATAGTCTCTTAATTATGCATGCTTAATTCTCCATTACTGCTAATGGGAATGATGGGCCCAATCCTTCAAGGTGCTGAGTATGCTCCATTCCGGTTGAAACCAATGGGAATAGAGTACTTGGCACTTTGCAGGATTGGGTCCTGTGTATGCTTTAATGTACACTAGTTGCACTAGTTCATTTTGTTGGAGATAGATGTAGGTTTACTAGACAGAAATGGGTCAAATTCCACTCTCCGTAACAGCAGTATAAAAATTAATAACTCCACTGCAGTCAGTTGGTGTTACTCCTGAAATTTGCTGGAAATGTCATTCTGCTCTGCACATGATGTTTACAGGGGGAAGGGATTGCCAAGGGAAGTATAAGCTTTTCTTTGTACTTCTGTGATCCATGGGCCTTTGAGTGAAGGATAGCCCCTGGGATAAGAAGTCCTTATCTTTTGTTAAGATGAAGACATTCTGTTAAAGGAAGAGAGAGAGATCACATGGATATACATAAATATCTTGGTTTTTTTAGTTCTAAAACAGTTAACGACTGGAGCTTGGGTTCTAGGACCCTGCGAGGTGGCAGAGTACCAGAGCTGTAGCCAGAGACTGAACATCTACACTGCAGTTAGACAGCCCCTTGGTCTGAGTTAACTGGCATGGACCAGCCACAGGTGTCTAACTGCAGTGTAGACATACCCTGAGAAGCCTTATCCCCCCGCCTTCCATCTGACACTATAGAAGACCCCCCTTGCCCTGGGGGCTGGGCACAGTGAAGCCTGTGGCGGAGTGCTCTTCCTGAGGTCATCTGTTTGTTTGCAGGGATTTCCTTGCATAAGAATGACAATAGTTAGCATTCTCACATAGATTTCCCATACAGACTCTGTAACAGCCCTGGGGTTGTAGGACATGTATGAGTAAGGAATGAGTAGTATCTGGGAGCTGTATTGCTATGGGCATAGTGATGGGCCAGACCTGCATATGTGCACTGCGGTTTGTAGAATTTACCTGTGTACTTCAGGGCAGCTGGCAGCCCAGAGCCCCCTGACAGAACGATGTAAAGGAAACTCAGTGACTTTCCTGTCTCTTCTGCAGGCTTTACCTGCATGACCCTTCAATTCTTGGCCAACAAAAATGATTAGAGTTGGCTGGAAGGTTTTTAATTGAGAGATGGCTTTTTATTGTGAAAAATATGTAAAAAAAAAAAAAAAAAAAATTGGTCTGGTATAAGTAAATGAAAAATAGATAGTTTGATTACAAAAAACTCAAAAAATGGGTCTGGTTTCAAACCTTTTAAACCGCCAACAGCTTTGGAATTTTTTGCCGAATTAGTGTTTAACTTTTTTGACCAGCTGTAGGGTTATGCAATTAGTTGAATCAATAACATTGAAAGCTTTTGGTACCAACTAGCAGTTAACATTAATCATTGTAATTCAAAATTGACCATTATATTTACCTCAGAATTGATGTGATTAATATGGTACATGTGGACTGTAATTACGTGCCTTTTTTCTCCACGATGTACTTTTTGAGTAAAAGCTTTGAGACTGTAGCATAAGAACTCATGAAATTTTAACTAGTTGTCCAAAAATAATTTTACTCCACTTTACTGTGTGTAGAAACAAACAAAACCCCCTCTACCAAAGCATTATAAACTCACTGATCATAACCAGTAGGTGGCATTCATCTTCTGTGCAGAACAGTACAACTTAATTTGTCATGATGTGTTTTCTCAAGTCATCAAAGCACAGATCAAGAAAATTGAGGCCAAGAACTTGACATGATTCAGAATGGAAACTGGATATCCAGAAATCTAGAGTTATCAATGACAAAAATTTTGGAAGGTATGTTAAACGTTGTGGTCCAGGGTCTAAGACAATCTCCAATACTAGTGATCAGGATGAGGCCTAATATAGGAGGCAGATAATCCCTCATTCTTCCTCTGAAGTATCTAACTTCTGTCAGACAGGATGCTGGTCCAGATGGACCTCGCCACCTGATCCAGTAACCCCTCAAATCAAAGGGAGTCCTTCCATTGACTCTCTATCAGGCAGTAGGTGAATAGATACTGTCTTGGATTGGAGATAAAATCCAGTGAGACATTACTGCACAATACTTTTTTCCTCAAGTAATCTTTTTTTGCCACCAAAAATGTTACCAAGATATGAATATTAAAACCTGGGTTAATTTCATGTTCATGAAAGTGAGTGGCTGACATTGCTAGCAAAAATAGAGTGTCCAATTATGTGATGTGTTTGAAGATGTAGACTCTCCTCTACTAGACTGAAACAACCAACTTACTTTAAATGTTGACTGCATTAGGAGTTGGACCAAATTCCAGAGAGTTGACAAGCTAATCCACTGTATCACCTATCCTTATAGAAATGTCTGTATTCTAGTTTAAAGTAGTGGAAATGTAGATATTAATTAAAACAATCTGTAAATATCATAGATAAAAATGTTTGCCATTTTTTCTTCATTTTTAGCAGAAGTTAGAATAAGTTGTAAGGTATTTCTTATAGCACTTGGGAAGCTCTGGCATATTAACCTATGAGCCACCACTTTTGGCAACAGCCAATGCACGGAAGAGGGTGAAAATTCATACATAGAATTGTTCACCTTTTCCTGTGATTTAATTCAGTTATATCTGTCACCTACTGGATGCTCTCTGACCACTGGCATGTGGTGTCCACTGAATTCTTGTATATACTGATGCCAGTATCCTAGCAACCTCAAGAGCGAGTTTAGTAGAATGTATTTGGAGTGCAATATGGTTAATCTCAAATTTAGGCACTGGAAAGGTGTAAGTATTGGTGAGAATTTTATAGTAACTTTTTAGTAAATACCAAAAATGAAACTTGTTCCAAGAACTCCCAGGATATTTTTGTCTAGCTTCACTAAATAAACTGTACTACAGTAGCATCTAGAACCTCCCACTGAAATTGAAGCCCTAATGTACAAACACCATATATGACAATCCCTGCTCAGAAGTCTGAATGGACAAGATCAATGAAAGGTGGAAGGGGAAAGATAGGAATAGGGAAGTGAAGTGATGTGCCCAGGGTCACACAACAATCAGTGACAGAGCTTGAATTGAATTTAGGTCTCTTGATTGACAGCCCAGTGTCTCATCCACTAGTCCATACTGACTCTAAAAGCAACAACAACAAAAAAGGCAAACTAATTACCAGAAATATTTTGTACACTGAGCAGAAATTACTACGTTCAGCTTTCCTGTATTAGAGACTCCTGCCATGAGCACTGGATGCCTTCAGTGACAATGGACTATGGCGCTTTTGCCTCTAATCTACAAGTTCAAATGCAGGACAAAAGTGACCCAAAATAACTACCACTGGAAGGCTGCCTGGTGATCTGTGTTAAGGAGTTGGTGATCTTAGGTGTGTGCATAACAAAACTCACCGTTGCAATTTGTCTCAATTGGTATCCTAAATTGAAGAAATGGGGTTTGCGTTTAATTCTGGACGTGGTGATGTAGGGCAGTTCTTATCTTTAGCAGGACTGAGTCCATAGTCTAGGACCTGTTCTGGTGATGAGAGAGTTCTGTCCCCTGTACTCACCGATGTCTCCCTATTGGTCAGCAGTTTCATTGTTCTACTCTCATGGAAGATCATGGCCACAGAAGGAGAGGTAATTCCTTGGGCAGCTAGGGTAAGTTCCTTGAAGGGATTTGAATATCTTGAACTGTCCTCTGTATTCAGTGGGAAGCCAGTGTGCAGATCAGAGCACTGAGTTAATGTGCTCACAGCAACCTGTGTTGCTAAGCAAATGGGCTGCTGTTTTGTATTTTTCAGGACATATGACTTCATTCCTAAGTTATGTAAAACTGTACCACAACTAACAATAAGCATGTCTCAAATATATAACTGTCTGCGGTTAGAAAAACAGAATTTGTAAGACTTTCTGTAGAAGCATCATCTGGTGAGTCCTAATTATTTCAGCAAAGAAAGGTAGGTGGCACAAAATGTTTTGCCTGTGGCATCAGTACACCTCAGGCAAGCTCTGTTTATGCAGAGAAGGAGTGGGGTGGCAAAAGAGAAATGGGCAGTGGATCAGGGTGGTCTTTGTCCCCAAAGAGAAATAGGAAAATGGGCCTTTCCAAGTTGTGTAGTTCAGCTGTCCTTTGAATTTGGGAGCCCATCGATGAAGGCAGAGACATCTGTTTTCACACAGTAGAGCAGCAGTTTAATAGATAACCCTGGGAACATGCAATCCTTTAGATGAGAATTAAATTTGTGCCTGCTATCTCTGTATAGGGTTCTGCGTACATCTTGAAGGAGCTGTCAGTGATTTTTCATTTTTTTTTTTACAAGTGCTGGGTAGAGTATGAAATGGTTTACTATTGAGAATAGTTCACTCAGACAAAGCATATATTGTGTGCATTCAGTTTCCACTAAACCTGCTCTTTTTTATGCTAAGTAATGTTATACAGAAGTAACTTTTATGAGATACTGTAATATGGAACACTCTAAGCTTGTGAATTGAAGGGAGCTAGCCGTTTTTAGTGAAATTAGAAAATATTTACAATCATAAAGAATGTCTTACAGCATCTATTGCATGTGATTTATTCCTTCCCCCTCCAGTCTCTCATTCATTTAAAAGATGGTCCAATTAATGAAGCACAAATATCCAGACAATTTTATACCATTACTTCTGAAACTGTAAGGCTGACCTTCATAGAGCAGTCCTTTCTTGAAACAAAACAAAACAAAACAAAACCCTATAGAATTCAATAGTCCTGGTGCAAAAACCATGTAGTAGTACTATATCTGTTGTCAGTTGTAATGTTGGGATCAGGCCCTATTTAGTTGGGTCTGCGAATACTTAAATTGTTTGATGGTAAATGAAATTATTCTGATAAAATTGTAAAAATAACGTGTCTTTGGGTTGGACGTTATTAGGGCAAGGTATGATTTTACCTGTATCAGCCACCTAATTTAGAACTCTGAGATAATTGTTGTAAGAAGATGCGAGTTGATGGATGTGCTGATTAGGCCATTAGCTATTATCATAAAATATCAGTTTTTGCTAAGGTTGGACCCCATTACTCAACACAGAAGGCGGACCCCATACATTCTGTCTTTTGCTTTTTTAGAAGGCCATCTGTTTGTGGTAAACCCAGCAAACTTTTGCAAGGCAATGGTCATTCATGCTGGCACTCTCCACACTGAGATAAGACCTAAAGACTACTCACTGTGAGAGAACTGAGACATGTTGACTTGGATCCAGAATACTTGGATCATCTAATTAGCCCTGAAGCTACAAAGGTGGTCCATGAGGTGGAGAAAGCAGAAGATGACCCCTATGAAAGTGAAGATCATGTGGAAGGGGAGTATTTTCTCCAGAGCAGACACTGACAACATTGGAAAGTGACATGCCCCTCCCTTCCCTGGATACGTCTCTGGAGGAAAAAGAAGTAAAAGACTTGAGTCATCAGCTATATGCCTGCCTGACCCAGTTTGTTACTGAGACTTCCCTGTGTTCTGAGTTCTGACCTTTTCCATCAGCTGGTACCAGTTAACCACCACCACAAGAGTTAAAGATCCCAAGAAATGAAGTTTTAACTCTTTCCTTTTATTTTACAGGAGGGATACCTCTATGCTTCAATGTCTTTCTAAAAGATCTGCTCTAGGAATTATTTTGTGGAAGTTCTCTGGCCTGTGGTATACAGGAGGTCAGACTAGATGATCAGAATAGTCCTTTCTGGCCTAGGAGAGAGAAACTGTCTGTGTGTAAATGGCACCTTTCATGGTTTCCTAAAAGTAAAATGGACGTTTCATCCAACTAGTCAGAACATTCTCTAAAGTTAAAAAGTCGTTTTTGAAAGCTGCTGCTGTGTATGATTGCCCCATCACCGCTGTAATTAAGACTAGAAAGGCTTCTGTGCTATTGTGTGTGAACATATCCTGGAACAGCGGCATTTATGGAGGAGGTGTAAAAGTGGAATTTCTGAGAAGCATTCTAACAGTTATACTTTCTTAAGGTGGACCAAGATGGAATTACCACTTACTTTAGGTGATCTCACTTAGCAAAGGTCTTAAGACCAGAATGGACATTTATGTTCTATGGCCACTCATGTCCTTCACCAGCTGGTTGGGGTCATAGAAACTGGCTCTTCCTGAAATTCTCCAGGAATTGCAGGTTAGCAAAAGTGATTCGTCTCATGTCAGCCTCATAATTTGATTTAATTACCCACTGTATTGATTTATTTATTGGATAATTTGAACCTGTTGATTTATTGATTCAGTTTTAATTGTCATTTGATTTTAATAATTGTTTTATTCTTACATGGCTCAGTGATATGTATGTTTAGTTTTATATTTACTTGCTTATTCTTAATATCCATAAAAGTTCACAAAGTTGGTTTATTCTACCAACATTTTAATATGGGTCAAGTATCCTGAAGGGCAAAGATCAGTAAAGTGTGTGGGAGCAACCTCTCTCTGTCTCTAAATGACTACCTATGTCCCACACATTACAGATTCGTCTCTATATGCGGTTTAAGGAAGCCAAGGAAAGATGAAATAAAGATACTTTAATTTTTAACAGGGGTGTAGTTTTGTAAGCACATGCCAAGACCTAATTCCATAATTTAATAAGTACCGATTGCCATCATTACTTTGAGTTGCAATAGCAATAGACCCCAGCTGCTATTTGCATCCTGCTGTGCAAGGTGCTTTACGTGCACATAGAATATCTCTGCCTTGAAGGGCTTACAGTCTAAATAGAGAAGACACATAAAGGGTGGAAGAAGGAAGTAGTAGTATCCCCATTTAGACATGGTGTTGAGGCAAGATTAA